TCCAAGCAGCCTCCATGTCTCCAGTGTCTTTTTCCCCACTTGGAGCCGAACCCAGAAGGACATTTCTTCCAACACAGTTATGGACTAATTCCATGTAAAGAAAATAGCAACACTTAGAGAGCAAGTACACTGGCTTTCAGTAGACTCTGGGCCTTTTCCTTGGACTCATGTAGTCAATGCCACTTTAACACCTCCTCAACTCAAGGATGTATTTTCCTGAGATAGAACAGAACAGAATAACAGAGTTGGAAGGGACTTTGGAGGTCTTCTAGTCTAACCTCCTGCTCAGGCAGGAAACTGTATGCCATTTCAGACAAAACATCAGACAAAGATCATAGGGCCAAGACAGCAAAACCCATCCATGCACAATATTTTAAAAGGAGAGCAAATCAAGAGGAATTTTTGTACTGAATTTAAATAGTCAGAATGAAGTAAGGATTCTCACATGTTTCACTTTTTCATCTCCAACTGGATGACTTCTTGGAGCATCCTAGGCTTGTTGGTATTCCAGGCTTCAGTCCAGTTGAACAGTAAATATAGATTCAACCTGCTCTCAGTAGGAGTGTAATTAGAGGAGTCCCAATCAGAGTATGGGCAGCAAGTACACTGATATAAGGGCCAGTGCTTTCCCATTTGACCTGGCTCCTTACCTCCCTCAATCTCAATGGTGGATTCCTGCTTCCTCTTTGGGTCCCCTGACTGCTCTTTAGAAGGCCAGATCCTGAAGATGAAACTCAAATCCTTTGTCCACCTAATGAGAAGGCAGGCCTCACTGGGGAAGAGCCGCAAAAGAAGAAGGGAAAGACAGAGAATGAGGTGGCTGGATGGAGTCACCGAAGCAGTAGGCGTGAGCTTAAATGGACTCCAGAAGATGGTAGAGGACAGGCAGGCCTGGAAGAACATTGTCCATTGTGTTGCGATGGGTCGGACACGACTTCGCAACTAACAACAACAAAGAGACCCTAGGAATGAGGGTCTGATGCAAGCTTAACAACTGGCAGCCACTCTCCCTGGGAATTAGACTTCACTTCCCCAAATTGGCATCTCCAGTTTTGGAAAATGCATATTTATTTAATAACGTTTTTTTCTTTTTTCATTTTCATAACATAATCACATATATACTATTATAACCAACATCATATTGTATTAATAAATGTTTACATCAATTCATCTTTACAACTCCCAAAAAACAATTATTGGCTCTTCTGCTCTCCACACACCATATTTGTACNCTGTGATGACGTCACGTACGCGCTTTCGTCAAGTGCGCTTTTGTCTACCGCGGTTTTGTGGTGGAACCAAAGGAATAAGGAACTGTTCAGTAGAAGGAAAGAAAGAAAAATTATCAAACGTGAGCCCCAAGAGTCCTTTATATTTAATTCTTGTAGCACCATATCATAACTTTGGCATTAATTGTACCAGCATTGTAATAATATAAAATAAAGTATGTAGTTGATGAATTCCCAGAATGTTGGCTAATATTAGCAAATAATTTTCTGTTTAGTAAGCTAGTCAGTTTTCTACTTTTTATTCTGCATCAGCAATAGGGTGTATATGAACAATAGAATTAGATCTTTTAAGTATCTGGGGTTTTTTTGTTCTCTTTTTATCAGAATTCCCTGCACCCTTCTATAAAGCAAGAGACACATTTCTTACATATGCAGGTCTCCAATCCATACTTAAATCAGTATTCTTGGATAATTAAGGACAGGATTGGAGCCTCAAATATACAGTATTTGTATGTATGTACATCTGTAAAGCGGTGGGGAGCTACAACTTTATAAGAGTTTGGCAGGATTTCTTCAACTTGAGGTTTGTTTATTTAATTTATTTGCCACCCATCTTGCCATAGGGCTACTCTGGGTGGCTTACAACAATAAAACCAGGCAAGGGGAGAGGGAGATAAAATGTAAAACATTTTGACAATAGCAAAGGAATAAAACAATAAAAATAAACAATGGAAGTACAATAATATGAAATTAAAAATATGGGTGGATGGAGAGCAGGAAACATAGTGGGGAGGTGGGGTCAGTTAATTAGTCTAGTAGCCACACACACCCAGTGATATACTCCCCTATTTACATAATGTAAAGTTTATAGTGTCAGTTTCTGAAAAATATTAAATGTTATTTTAATTTTTCGACACTAGGAAACATAATGTGTAATCTGTAGTCCAAATGTATACTTACAGATTTTTCTAACTAGAGAGATTTATATTAAATATAGATGTATCAATGCCTTTTATCCTTTCATCTTTTATTCTTTCATTATATGAACTATCAGCAATATATATTATGCATGTTACAGTAATATAAACTGGTACACAAATACTTGTTACAAAAAGAATTGGCTATTACAATTTCTTAATACTTAAAACAAATTTTTAGAAAATAGAGTATCTTTAAAATTATATCCTTCGCATCTCATTTGAAATAATATTACATGAATTAAAACTACATTTTTGTCTTGTGTTTTTCTTCAAAGGGGAGGAAGAAAGTCCAGTTTTTGCTTTTCCATTACTTCTGCGGAAAGATCGTCATATAGAGAATCTCTTTCTCCATTCTTTCTCCTGGAAGTTTGAATGTTTGCAGTGTGGCTACCACAGCAACAACAGGTTGGTTTCTCTAAGTTCTGCTCTTCCTTCCTCCTTGATATAGCCATGCATTTCAATCAGTATTTTGCAAATAATACATTATACAGGCAGGAGAGGGCAGTTGTGAGCATGTGATTTGCCTACTGGGCATCTTGAGTCACAGCTCTGAAACAGCATAACCCTCTGCTGTTATACTTGAGAGAGGTTGAGTTTTTATTCTTGCCATTCAAGATTTATCCTAACTGTTGTAATTGTATGCATTGAGACATAAACATATTTCTTTAAAATGTCTTAGTATATGTTTTCTCTCAGCATAAAATAGAAAGACAATTACAAGTGGTAACAAGTCCTGAACTTCCCTTCAGTGTTAGCCTAAATTTACATCTTAGTTCAGTCATTTTATTTATGATGGTCAAATCAATTCTTACTATCCCAAATTGGCATTCATATTTAGCTCCTGGATTTGTATTTACTCTGCTCTTTAAACTAAAGCAAAACATCAAGGATGAAGAAAAAATAAGGTATAAATAGCAGGCAGGAAAACAAAATAAAACAAACAAGTTGAGACTACATATACATAAAAATACAGTAATTTTCAGAAAAATCAAACATCTTAAACACCCATATTCAATATTTTGATGCAGAAAACCCCATTTGGAGGAATGCATCTATTGAAGACTTAAATTTTCAAAGAGATAATTTGTACCAATTTGATTATAACTCATCTAAAATCTAAAGTCATCCTAATTAAGATTTATAATGTACTTTATCTTGATGGTTAGGTTTTTATGTGTTTCTGAAATAGAAGTAAAATAGCTTTATTTTACAAAAAAAAATTCAGGTGGATTTATTGAGTTCAATCTCAAATTATCCCTCCAGAGTTTAAAATTCCAGAAGGTACAACTTTTATAATATTGAATAGTATCTCATAATTTAAGTGAAGTAAATGTGCACCATTCTTTAAATATTAATTGTCCTAACTGATGACATCCTGTAAATATAGGAATAAATTATTAACCTTGTTTCATTTGAATATATATTCATTTTATTTTTAGTTGTCAGCAGGCAATGACAACGTTTACAAATATAATCCCAGAGTGGCACCCACTGAATGCTGTTCATGTTGCTCCCTGTAATAAGTGCAATCACACATCTCAAAGAAGAAAAATGGTTTTAGAAAAGTAAGTGAGAATTTTATTATAATCCCCAAATGAGATAAAACTACATCGGTAGTTCGTAAGCAATAATAAGTGACAGCTAATGTAAATTTTTAAGACCTGTATTTATGGCTTCTTGATTTCATAGTTGGGAGCAGTATTGTTTGTATTCATCAAGCCAACCCATACCATATTTTACATAGAGCATTCTATATTAATCTAACTGTAGTTTATTCAGTAAATCATGGTTAACTAACATGGCTTAACATAATGTGTGAACTCAGTTCTTGAATGATATTATATAAATACGAAGGTCAGCACCTGCTCTTTAACAATTCTGAGTTACAATAACATCCCAGATAAGATTATATAATTTGTATTCATTTATATAATCTCACTTGGGGTGTGATTGCCAAATGTTCTGCATTCCTCGAGGTCTTTGTGAAAACTCATAGACGGCTTACTGATATTTAGCTTTTAATCCCACTGCATGTTTTCAGTTTTGGTGAGGTAATTAACACTAGTATCAGGGATGTTTTCTGCTTCTAAAATCACAAATTGTTATGTTTATTTGGTAGGATCTCCTCAGTTCTGATGGTGCATTTTGTTGAAGGCTTACCACATAACAATTTGATGGCCTACTCCTTTCAGTTTCAAGAATATTCATATCAAGTTACAGCCGTGGTTCAATATCAGAAGGCAAAGCACTTCATAACCTGGATCTTGACTTCAGATGGTAAGGACACTATTCCCTGTATCTGCTTTATCCTTCCAAAATATCCGTCTATCTGATTTGGCTAGTAATACCAACAGTCCCAGTATAATACAATGGTATTTGGAGGAGACCAAGGGTTACAGAAATACAAAAGACCTTTTAGGAGCATAAAGATCGAGAGGGGGGGGATCAAAAGTGGTAAAGGGGGATGTGTGTGAATTAGCCTGAGAACATTGCCCCAAAATAGTGAGTGTGAAGGTGAAGAAAGGTCAAGAGCATCCTTCAAAGAGGCTGGCTTGAAATAGAAATATTCCAGAAGTCTCTCCTGCTAGCCCCCCCTCACCACAGACACACACACACACAGAGTCCTTGGCTTACAACAGTTCATTTAGTGACCATTCGAGGTTGCAATGACACTCAAGTCATTTATGACCCCTTTTCACATTTACAACTGTTGCAGCATCCCAGGGTCGTGTGTTCATTTTTTGCAACCTTCTCACAAGCAGTCAATGGGGAAGCCAGATTCACTTAACATCCTCGTTACTAACTTAACAATTGCAGTGATTCACTTAACAACTGTGGCAAGAAAAGTCATAAAATGAGGCAAAGCTCACTTAACAAATGACTTGCTTAGTAATGGAAATTCTGAGCTTGGTTGTGATCATAAGTCGAGAACTACCTGTCATGTCTCTTAGTATGTCAGTTCACAATTTCCTTACTGGCATTTTGGGCACAATTTTCATAAGTCGAGGACTACCTGTATGTAACTATTTATCTCTTTCGTATGATAATACAATGCTTCAAAGTACATGGGAAACAACCTTCCAAATAATTCCTACATCAACATATCTTTACATGGTTTCTAGTTAGAGCCAACCTCCTGGAACTTCAAGTTCAAAGAGTTTGTAGGTGTCTAGGGACTAGTTTAGTATTTCCTTCTTGGTTTAATTGTATACAATATATAAAGACCTTTAGGGTAAATCTTCAGAGCAAACCAAATCTAATTAGATTTTAGCTTGCTTTTTCTGACTTTTGCATTCACAGAACTAGCTACCTATCTCAAAGAAGCAGAAAGTTTGCCCTACTTGAAGAAAATTAAAAGTAATAAAGTTAAAGGGACATCTTTTTTGTGTGAATTGCCTGATAACCATCTGTGCTTAATGGAGACTTACAGGAGACTTTAAATAAATTATAAGCAACAACTTTCTTGATCTCCCTTGGTGAGCACACAAACCTCCAAGCAGTCAAGCAGAGATGGCCTTGCAAAATATCAAATAATGGTGTTTTTCTTTTGAGACTCTCGATGGAATATTTGTGACTTATGTAGATGTTTGGGGTGGGAGGAAGCATTTGAAAGTGACTCAAAACTTTTGTAGGCCTATTAATAATGCTGATTTGTATGAGATACATATATTGCATAAGAAATAATGCAATGTCGATGAATAAGCCAGAAGCTTTTTTGTGAGAATCCAATAAACATTGGATATTTTGAAACCTTGGGAGTATAATGGTTTGCTAACTGATTTTCAGTTAAATCATATAAACACAGTTAGTGCTTGACTAGCTATTCCAAATTCTCTATTGAATTCTTAGAGCTGCAAGTCAATAGGTATAGAGGGAGAGTGAAAAAACAAACCAGATATATTTCAATACACGTAGTTCAAAATTATCCATTTTCAACAAACCATGCATAAATTATAGTTGAACATATACATACTCAGTGAGCATTAAAGATTCATTTATCTGAAATGAATGATAAGAAATGTACCCTAATATTCTGAATTGTTCATATTTTATTTTTAGGAATATGGCTTGAGTGTGATGACTTAAAAGGTTCATTCTCCAGAAGACACCATACTTTTGAGGTTCCTTCTGCAGAAATACATATTGTCATTTGGGAAAGGAAGCCGCCACAAATGACCAACTATTTGGATTTACAAGTTGAAGAAACAATGACGGCACCATCAAAAACTCCAGTTAAATACTCTAATGATGAAACTGCAGAGAGTGTACCTCTAACTTGTCATAAGGCAGTTGACATGCTGAACACACATATAAAGGAAGTAAAAAACTTAGCAAGCAATCAGAAAAATAATTTGCTTCATGGCTTGGGCAACCTGTCTGATGATGATGATGATGTAACACTGAATCTTGACTCAGGTGGACAACTGTTAGAAGATAGAGCTATAGAAAATAAGCAGATAGTCAGAACAGGTCCATTACAGTTGCAAGAGTTGGATCAGAAAGATATGTGCCCACCAACCCCTGAAGGAGATACTCAAAAGAAAAGTGTAGTGTTAGGAAATACCAGTGCTCCCAGGCATGAAGGACAGCCAATTAACGCAAGTAACCTAGTTACTACACCATCAGTTACTTTAAGTAATGGCAAAATAAATTTCTCATCCAAAATACTATTACCACAAGGGGCAGAAACTGCAGTCACCTTAGTTCCAGTAGAAGAGAGCAGCAATTGCCATCCAAAGAATCCTCAGAAGAAAACCAACGAAACAAAATTGGGAAACACTAAGTTGGGAACGTCTAATGTTGTAGAGTTCGGTCAAGAAATAAAAATAAATCCCCAAATTTCTGCTCCATCTCACCAAAATCCTACCTTTCACTCACCCAGTACAAATGGAATTAAGCCATCTGTAGCCAGTTGGGTAAATGGCTTACTTGGAAAATATTCTTCCTTTATGCCTAAAAGTGCGGTGGTTCCGAGTAAACCAAAAAACTGCAAAAAATCAGTGCAAAAAGAAACAAAGTCCAGTTCACTTGTTAGGCAAGCTGGCCACTTCCGTGGTTTCCAAACTAAATCTTCGCAAAAAAGTAAAGTGGCAACATTAAATTCTTCAGCTAGAACTCTTCCAACATCTCCTCTGACCACTTTTTCTCTTGCAAACATCCGTGTCAAAAATCTTGTCCCTGCTAGAAAAAGTGAAGCTGTAACTAAAAGAACAGCTTCATTGGATGCTTTTCCTAACCAAGATTTACTGAAAAATGCCCACCATGAAAACCAGAGTTTTATATCTGTTGAAAATACTGGGTCATTTATCGATAAAACTCATCAGCTACGCGTAACACTTTTACAGCAGCTTAAGGCTAAAAAAGAGAAATTAGCTTCACTAGATAAACTGGTAAAAGCTGAGGCAAGACACAAAAACTCTTGCAAGAAAACTATCAAGGACCAGACACGAAAACAGATGGAACCTTTGCAGACAAGGTTGTTATATACCCAAGAAATGCAGGCTGATGTTTGGGATAGTAAATCCGTTAATTCTCAAAGCACTGACATGTCCCAATGCAGCAGTTCAAATTATGACGACATTTTATCTGAGCTGCTGTTGTCTCCAGCTACAACTGTTGGTTCTTTAGAATTTCCACAGGAAGAGGAATGTAGATACCTGGAAATGGGAGGTGACAGTTCAGACACGCCGATATCTGTTGGCAAAAATACCAGTTTTCAGGCCATAGATAATGACCTTAATTACTTGAGTTCTCTAAAGGAAAATGAACTTGAAGACCACAGAAACCCATCAGCACTCAAATCGCCTTTGAAGAAATTTGATTTTGAAAGTTCTGCAAAACAGGATCTTCTGGATGATTTCTTTTCATGTTCATTGAATTCAGTAATGACTGACTCTGAAGATTTGCATCACTTTGATGAATCGTTGTTAGCTTGGTAAATTGTGTTTTAACAATTTCAGTATTTCCCTTTGGTTGTCTTTAAAGGAGAGTATGATTTAAAATTCAACCTAATTTGCACTTGACTATTTAAAATGATTGTTTTTTATATTTTTTTTCTTAATAAATTGGGTTTGTTTTTCTGCCTCAAAACCACTATTCGCTGGAAGAGATGAGCTGATTCTTGTACAAAGTAGCAGTGATAAAGTTTTGACATTTTAAAAGCCATTGTAGTATTCACCAAGTAGTATTCACCTAGGATCTTTCTAATCTATGGCTGAGCTAAAAAATGCTTTCCAAGAATGTAAAAATGTAGAATACCATCGTATAATCATGGTATGTAATTTCATTTCTGATAAACTTTTTTTTTTTTCAAAAGTAGGCCTTCAGGCTAAACTAAAAATTTTAAACGAAGCCATTTTATTGTAATTATTTTCTGTTCCAATGAAATGTCTGTCTAAAATTTTTGGTCTACGTCACAGTGTGAATGAATGTTAACATATAATCTGTTCTGCCTGTTGTTGTTTTTGCTAAACATTAGGGCATATTGCAGATGAATTAGGTTAAGATTTAACTCAGAGATTTCTGCTAAAATCCAGGGATCTGTGAGCCCTGTAAATCCCCAATCCTTTGAAATGTGGTTTTGAAGTATTAAAGCAACTTTTGAAGTTACAACCGTATTCCTTTTTCTTCTGCAGCTCTTTGGGTAAGTTTGTTAAATATTCTACCCCATCACCTGGAATATAACATGACAATTCACTGCAGTTCACACAGACCTGATATAGATAAATACAAATTAATTGGAAAAAAAATAATGGCTAAGTTTAATTACATATTCATTACAACTCTTATTGCTTAGTAGATTGTATGCAATAGGAGGTCAGAAAAGTCCACTTTTAAATGTGCCAGACTATTATTTGCAAGTTACTAACGTGAAGTTATTTGCAATACTTGGTTAACACAATTTTTACTTCATCATCTCATCCTAAAAATTTTTTTATTGCGGCGTTGTTGCCACACTGGAGGGCTGCTCATGTGTCCTTGGCCGAATTGAAAGGAAAACACCAGGCAGAATTCCTCGGGATGAGCGAGCTTCGAAGTACATTCGAAGCCCTCTTTTATTAGAAAAGTTAGTTACAGCGTCATCAAAAAGGAACGTATCAAAAGGCATATATAATCACACACGATACAAGTAAACTAATGAAAAGTTCACAGCA